GAGACACAAGCCTTATACACTGAAAATTACAACTCGTCATTAACGGAAATTAATGAAGACCCAAGTAAATGCAATGGTCTCCTGTTACTGCTTAACTAGAAACCCGGTGCAAGAATTTGTGCACGGGTGGGGTCTGGCCTGCCAGCCCCGATTGGGTGGTAGTGGGGGAGTTGACAGGGGCTGGGGCTAATGGGGGGAGGGGCCATGGGCGGTTGGCCAGCCACACCCCCCCTCGGTCTAACCCCCAGGTGAGGGAACAATTTGCATATCAGCCTTTTATTATATAGGATGGTTACAGACTTTCAGCCTGCGTGATTATAAAATCCTGGAAACACAAATATAACTTATGCCACCGAATTGATGATACACTTAAAGTAGCTAAAATGGCACAACCGGTGTGACACATTTGTCATCATCCACACAAAAAGGGGGTTCGTGCCCCAACCCCTGGAAATCAGTTCAGTTACCCATCGGGGAGACTTAAGTGACAGGTGGAATTAAGGTTGCTACCAACCCGACTTTAATATATTTTTCACTGATTTTTAACAGAGAGGAAGGGAGAGAGATAGAGAGCTAGAAACATCGATGAGAGAGAAACATTAACCAGCTGCCTTTTGCACACCCCCTACCGGGGATGTGCCCTCAACCAAGGTACATGCCCTTGACTGGAATCGAACCTGGGACCTTTCATTCCTCAGACCGACGCTCTACCACTGAGCCAAACTGGCTTTGGCTACCAATCCGACTTTAAAAATGGAGACTCACCTGCAGCACCTGGTGAGCTCACGTCATCACAGCGTCCTTGCGAGTCAGAATCAGAGAGATGGCAACCCGAGAAAGACCTGATTGGCTTCCGCTGGCTTTGACGATGAGGAGGGGTCGTGAGCCAAGGAATGCCTTTCAGCTTGGCTTGGCTGGTGCTGGTTCAGGAAGCCAGACCTTCCTGCAAAATGATCATGCTTTCTCCCCCCTACCCCCCAAATGCTCCCATAAGCCTTTGCTCTTCGCTCTATCTGCACTCATTTCATCCGCCCTTCATCGGGCGGAGCCTCACCTGTCTTCCAGGCGCCAGGGAGTGGCCTCGAGGGTGGATTTGGTGTCCTTCACCGGGCTGCCCTCAGCATCAGGCACCGGAGGCCACTGGTAAACACCTATTAAGTGAATAAATTAACTGTGAACTCTACAAACAGTCTTTCCTTTCCTGGATCGTGCATGAATAACGCCAAGTACTTTTTGAAAAGGACATGAAGCTACAGAGAGGGGAAAATACACTTAGCTAATAAACATCATGGGTCAAAGAAACGCATAGAAAGTGAGAACTGTAGCCCTAAGCAGTTTGGCTCAGCGGGTAGACTCTATCCACTGAGCCAAACTGCTTAGGGCTATCCGATAGAGCGTCAGCCTGCAGACTCAAGAGTCCCAGGTTTGATTCCGGCCAAGGGCATGTACCTTGGTTGCAGGCACATAACTAGTGGGGACTGTGCAGGAGGCAGCTGATCGATGTTTCTAACTCTCTATGCCTCTCCCTTCCTCTCTGTAAAAAATCACTAAAATATTTTTTTTAAAAAAGAAAGAACCAGTGTCTCTTCTGTTGGGGTGGCCACGGGTGAAGGCGTGATGACACCTGTGCTGCCAGGTTCAGGCGAGAGGGGCCCCATGCACACGCCTGCCGGGAGGCGGCGGGAACCAGGCACTCTCTGTGTTACAAAGCCTGTAAAACACTATGACAGTTCATACCGGCGTCCTTTCAAAACTCAGACGACATCCTGAGTATTTCCTGCAAGCCTGCCTAAGAAAAGAACTCAATCTAGGCAAGGACAGGTACACAGATGTCCTCTTGTAACACCTTAACCTAACAAAATAGCCATTCCATGTCCAAACGTATAAAATACCGCAGCCGTGGTGCCGGGCCCCGGGCCAGCCGGGGGCGGTCAGTGGTGGTGGGCAGGTGGGCCTGGTGCAGGTGAGCCAGGATGGAGGGGGCAGGGGCGGAGGGAAGCAGTGAAGGGAGGTCGCACGGCTGGCGTGAGAGGGTCGGTCTGTCGAGGGAAGACGGGCAGGCGCCCGGGTCTGGGGAATTGCTCCTCCTGGGCCCAGAGGTTGCTTCTGCGGCGTCTCGGCTGGAGGGCCGCCGCTAACCGTGTCTCTCTCCACAGGAGATGCCGCGGTAGAACCGAGAGGCCGCTTCCTGGCGGAGCCGCGCTGAGCCCCGGCCCGCGGAGCCATGGCCGGCCTGCTGCTGCTGCTGCTGCTGCTGCTGTGGGGCGGGGGCCGCGGCGGCCAGGCCCAGAGGGCAGGTGGGTCCAGGGGGCTGTGCGGGCCTGTCCGTGTGCACGCCCGGGGGGGGGGAGGGCGCGGGCAGGCTGTGCCCCCAAGAGGGCTGGTGACTGTGTGTGGGGGATAACCAAGGTGTGTAACAGTCACTTATCCAGCAAGGGTGTGTGCCTGTGTGTGTGCCTGAGAGTGTGAGTGTGCCTGTGCGTGTGTGTGTGTATGGGTGTGTGAATGTGTGTGTGAGTGTGTGTGTGAGTGTGTGTGAGTGTGTGAATGTGTGTGTGAGTGTGTGTGAGTGTGTGTGAGTGTGTGAATGTGTGTGTGAGTGTGCGTGAGTGTGTGTGTGAGTGTGTGAATGTGTGTGTGTGAGTGTGCATGTGCGTGTGTGTATGAGTGTGTGAATGTGTGAATGTGTGTGTGAGTGTGTGAGATTGTGTGAGTGTGTGTGTGTGAGAGTGTGTGTGTGAATGTGTGTGTGTGAATGTGTGTGTGAGTGTGAATGTGTGTGTGAGTGTGTGTGTGAGTGTGTGAGTGTGTGTGAGTGTGTGTGTGTGAGTGTGTGTGTATGAGTGTGTGTGTGTGAGTGTGTGTGTGCTGAGAAAAGAATGAGCTGTCTGGACCCGTTTTGAGAGAATCAGAGAACGGTTCTGAGCTTGCCCCTCTCAAGTGCCTGTCAGGGTAGGGGCAGCAGGCAGTGCTGTGAGGTCGTGTCCTGCGAAGGCGCTGTCGCCATTCCAGGGGACATGGACATACTGGGCCTGGCCAGAGGGGTGGCCGGGCCAGAGGGGTCTGCAGTGGCCAAAGGAAGCGGGAACAGGGACGGAGAAGAGGAAGCTGGGCAGGGTGGGCTGGGGGAGGGGGCCTGGCGATGGCTCTGCTCACCTGTCACCTGCCAGGGCCTCTGGGAGGAAGACTCTTGGGTGCGGAGGCGCAGGGCCAGCGGGAGCAATGGGCGCCAGGTCACTGGGCATAAAGCCCTGCCCCACGTAAAGCAGGTGCTCCCGTAAAGCCCCGCCCCTCACAAAGCCCCGCCCCGCGAAGCCCCACTCCACATCATCCCCCCCAGCTAAGCTCGGTGCCCACGTAAAGCCACACACACCTCCCCGTACAGCTGGCGCCCTTTTCGCGGGTGGGAACCGGGTGAGGAGGCAAAGGCCTGTGCGGTGAGGCTGGGAGCCCGGTGCTGATCGGAGGCCCAGCTATTTATTCTGTCTCTCTGGCCCAGGAGACAGAATAGAAACAAGGAAGGCCCCCGCCGGAAGGCTTGGCTCAGTATCGTTGCCACGAAGCCTTCTCTGTGCTTCACTTTGCCCGCGCCTCCCCAGGCCCCGCTCGCGGGAGAGGCAGCGATGCCGTGGCCTCCTGGGCTCCGGGCGGGTCCGGATGTGTGTCCACCGGGGCTCCCTGTGGGCAGTTCACACTCGGGGTCCTCCGGGTCACACAGGACCGCTCCCTGAGGACAGCTCCCATTTCACAGGTAGAGAATGAGGCTGGAGGGAAAGGCGGGGACCCGAGGGGGGTCACGTGGCCTTCCCCTGTCCTGGCACAGAGGCCAGAAGCCAGGCACCAGCCCCAGAGCCGGGGCCGGGGCTCAGACGTCACACTCACCTCTCCTGGGCCTGCCCCCCGGCAGCCCCCTGGCCGCCGGAGGAGATGTGCGGAGAGCTCCCCCGGGCTCCTTGCTGAGGCCCTCTGAGCGAGTCCACTTTCTGCAGCTTTCAGACAAGCTCGCTCCAGGGTTATGACAGGCTCCGGGTGGGCTGGGGCTGCTAGGACGCAGGGCCAGCACGTATCAGAGGAAGCCTTTATTGTAGGCGCCTGGGGTGCAGCAGGGCCGAAGGGGGAGGCCGACTTCTGTAAACCTCTGCCGGCCGCCCGCCCGCCGTGAGGGTCCGGCCGCCGTGAGGGTCTGGCCAGTCCGTGGCTGCTCCAGGCCCGCATCTTCTGGTGACCTGGCTGCACCTTTCTGCAAGAGACCTGCCGAGCACAACACGTTCTCTCTGCCCCGCTTTATTCTCTGTAGCCCTTCCCGGTCCTCAGAGGCGTGGTCAGCAGCTGCTCTGGCAGGCCCAAGCCTCATGTTCCGGGAGAGGCAAGACCAGGCTTCCTAAAAACAAACAAACCTGTTCATTGATTTCAGAGGAAGGGATGGGGGGGGGGGGGAGAGAGAGAGAGAGAGAGAGAGAGAGAGAGAGAGGGAGAGGGAGAGAGTGAGAGAGAGGGGTATCAGTGAGAGTGAATAATTGATGGGCTGCCTCCTGCATGCCCCCTGGGAATCGAGCCTGACAGGGAATCAAACCTCGACCTCCTGGTTCCTAGGTTGCTCACCCGCTGAGCCAGGCTGGCTGGCAAGGCCGGGCTTCTCGAGGGCTCCCAGGTGTGTGCGCAGCACTTTGGGGCTCAGAAAACACCTCCCTGCCTGCCCTCTCGTTTGAAATGGGGGTGAGCAGCGTGTCTGCTCTTGTCGCTGTGAAGACCAGAAAGAATGCTTTTTGGTGTTTGACCCAAAGCATTGTACCGTTCACAGGAAATCTGTATTTGTATATGTACCACAGATGTAAGCACGTTTTTACAAAGCTTTATAGAATCCCGCGAGTTCGTATTGACGGTGTATGAATGCAGTGCGTTTCCCGTGCTTTCCGATGGCGAGCTCTTCCAATGCCCACGGAGGGAGGAGCGCCCGCTAAATAAATTATGCTCATCCTTGCCGCAGACGCTCCGTCGCC